AAGTGTGAAATAAAATTCTTTCCAACTAGTGCTACTCTATCATTGCTGGAATTGTACAGATAGAACAGAATATATATTGCAGAAATTATTGCAATGTCAGATTTTTCTAATATCGCGCAGCCCCAGTGTGCAGTGCTATATTTTCTGGGTTGGTGTTGTATATTACACTGCACAAATCTTGTAATAAACCCCAGCACATTTCCTGTTATTTTACAAATCTATTTCTGTAGATAATATTTCTTATACATTATATATATATATATATATATATATATATATATATATATATATATATATATATATATATATATATATATATATATATTATATCAGTCGACTAAAATGTCAATAAAAGACACTTTGTGAAACTGTATTTGTTAAATTTTCAACATTTAAAGTGGATAGAGCAGCGATCAACATCCCATAATGCAATTCACAACTGTAAATAAACACTTGTGAATCACAAAATACAGAAAACTACTCATTAAGAGAGATTTATTAACAGCGACTTATGAAAAAAATAGTACCACACTAGTTACAAAAGCACTGTCAATGACTCCGTTTTAGGTGTGCAGGATACCTGTTTCAGAAAGTTGGGAAAGTTGCCGCATCGGCTGTTGGCGGAGGTTTCTTTTTGCTCCAGGTAAACCATAATACTGTATCATAACTGCAATTGCACATTATATATTGTTAATGAATGTTTAAGCAGTCTCTGATATGCTTTCAGATCGCACATCACACGGGCTACATTAAAATAGACTGGAAAAGAGTCGAGCACGACGTGAACAAGGCCAAGAAGCAACTGAAGCTGAACTCAGACAAGCCCCCGAAAGAAGTCACTACTAAATTTAATGAGGTGGGGAAATTACTTCTGTTATAGTGTAAAAAAAAAAAGTTTCCCAGTGATGGGTTGCAGCTGGAAGGGCATTCGTTGTGTAAAACATATGCTGGATAAGTTGGCGGTTCATTCCACTGTGGCGACCCCAGATTAATAAAGGGACTAAGCTGAAAAAGAAAATAAATGAATGATATGTCTATGTAAGGGATGATGTACATCCAATTGGTTGTATTGGCAGAATAAAACCGGACAGGTTTATTAGAAGCTGCTGTACGCTGCAAATAATGTCTTCTTTCTAGCCCAAATGTCTAAAAAAAATTTATTTAATAAGAGTTTTCAAGACAAGCAAAACATATGTTTTTCAGAAATAATGAGTCAAAAAAGCAAAATTTTTCTTAAAACAAGCAAAATAATCTGACAGCAATAAGTGAAATAATCTTATGTCAAAACTAAAAGCAAGATTATCTTCTTTCTCCCAATGTCAGATTATTTTGCTTGTTTTAAAGGAAAACCTCACTTCATTTCGACTCATTATTTCTGAAAATATGTGCAAGCTTTAGTTATTTGGACTAGAAATGAGACAAAATCTGAGTACGAAAGGTATTTCTTTTGCAGTATATAAGATTGAAGGGTTTATTCTGCGAGAAGAACCGGCTGGATGTACATTATCCTGCTTTTTACAAGCCACAAGAACTCACACTAGACACAAAACATTAGTCTGAGCTGTAATGATTTACTTACTAAATAGAAAGCTTGCAGAAATGGAGCACACACTAAACTAGCATGTATTATTAAGTCGCAAGATGCCACCAAATCAGGAAAAGTATATTATATATCACATATATCATGCAAAAATTTGCATGTAGTTTATTTTGTGTTCATTTGCTTGTGTTTTCAATGAATTGTTTTATCCTTTGTTGCTTGTTGCTTAAATTATATATATATATATATATATATAGACCTTTTTCTTGGAACGCAAAAATACCCATTATGCTTTGCGTGTATGCGCAAGGAGAATGCAAGGAACTTCCGATCGACAGCTGATGCATGTAAACAGTCACATTTGGACAGCTTTGAAACGATAGTTTTAATTACCTGCTTTTATCCTCTTTGAACTAACACTGTTGTCCATCTGCACCATCTCCTGGACTGATCATTTAAAGACATGTGATCTAATAGGATGGAAAACAGCTGCTGTGAGGCGTTTCCCCCTCGTTGTCAGACGGCATCTTCTGCAGTTTAAATGAAGCCTCGTCATCGCTAAAGTCAACATTTTCTCTTTATTTATAATATATAACCAGCCCAAACAAATGTAGTTCACCAAAATGTTTGACACACACACGTAGCCTGTTCTGTGCCACTGACACACTGATTTAATAACTGTGACAAAGTGAAAATATAGGCTAGTGTCATTTCGAAATGACAGAAAAACACAAACCGTGGTGAAAACAACACACGAAATAAAACACAAACGGCTCGCGATTAGAATGAACAGCAGATCAGCAGCAGAGGATCAATAACAGACCTTTATTGCTCATTTTTGTAAATTGCACAACTTTCATACCTTTCAAGTTTCATGCCAGTACTCTGGTTTCTCTCTCTCTCTCTCTCTCTCTCTCTGCGTGTGTGTGTGTGTTAAAGAGCCGCTGAGCTAACAGCTGACAGGCCGGGAACACACAAACACTGTATTTCTGACGGCAGACACGTGAACTAGGAGAACGTTTTTCTCGAATTTCTGACGCGCTTGAACCACATGTGACAGATTATAACTGCTTTAACAGACACATTTCTAAGTTGTGTGTCACAAAAACACTGTTATCCATTAAAAACACCATTGAAACCCATTTTCGGAGCGCAAATTACCAGTTGAACACGCTGTAAACGGAAGTTTTTAGCATTCTACCGGAAGACGCTGGTCGCTATGGCGCCCTCCATGCAGCAGCCATGAAAAAGGTCTATATATATATATATACACACACACACACATATATATTTATAAATTTATTTATTTTTATAACTGATTTCTTTTCTCTTTGTCATGATGACAGTAAATAATATTAGACTAGATATTCTTCAAGACACTAGTATTCAGCTTAAAGTGACATGTAAAGGCTTCACTAGGGTAATTAGGGTAAAGTTAGGGTAATTAGGCAAGTCATTGTATAACAGTGGTTTGTTCTGGAGACTATCCAACACTAATATTGCTGAAGGGGGCTAATAATATTGACCTTTAAATGGGTTTAAAACAATTAAAACTGCTTTTATTCTAGCCAAAATAAAACAAATCAGACTTTCTCCAAAAGAACAAATATTAGAGGAAACACTGTGAAAATTTCCTTGCTCTGTTGAACATCATTTGGGAAATATTTGAGAAAGAAAAAAAGGAAAAGCACAGGAGGGCGAGTATTCTGACAATATTATTAGCCCTCTTAAGAAATCATGTTTTCAATTGTCTACAGAATAGATTGGCCCTGTAATAATGGGTTTTAAAGCAGAAGTGTTGAATAGTGAATGTTTTCTGGCTCTGTACAGGTGCAGCTGTTTGTCAAGAACAACATCGTCCTGACAGGAGGTTTCGCAGGAGGGTTTCTGCTCGGTTTGGCCTCATAGGAGCCTTTCTGATCACCCCGAGGACGTCATTAACACTTTATACAGCAGCTTGTATTTAACTCAGCACTGCTTTATCAGTTAAACTTCTCATTAATCTGTGTAGGCATGATGCAATGTGTCCGTAATGAACATTTATATATTGAAGAATGTATAGTTCAGTGGTTTGATGTGCATTATTTTAAGCCCCTGTTACATTGAATATTATTTTTGCTGTATTTTTTGGTACATGACTTGAATTCAGACATGTAAATATTTGCAGGCCTTTAAAAAAAAAAAACGACATCCAAACTTGCAGAATTATATCATCAAGCTCAAATATTCACATGCATTTTTTTGTAATAAATCTGGATATTATTTCCAAAATCAAGGGTTTAAAAGGTTGTGAATCAGGATTTAAGCAACTTTGATTGTGTTCTTGATATTTTATATATCATCTATTTTTTCTAAATTGCAGCTTATGCTTATGATATTTGACTTTCTTTTATTTCCTATTATGTGATCTGATTATGAATTGTATTATTACAAACCCCTGCTGTATTTTCCAACTTGAGGAAATCTGAACTTGTCCAAATGATGTTCATTGTTTTACGTCAATAAAATAAACTTTAAACGTGCCATTCACTATGATAGATGATATAAATAATACATGCGGAGTCGAGCATGTTACTTCGGAGTTGCATTAATTGCTAGTTATTGCAATTGTATTTAAATGACTTCTCTAATTTGTCTATAAAATAACCTAGTCACTCAATAAGTAATTGAATTATGTGATTAAATACTAATTACATGAATCTCAATGCATAAGCAATATAAACTAAACTAAATTTTTAAAACTATGTTTAAGTAAAACGGTACCTTGTATTTTACTTTAAAGAAATAACAATCATAATGTAAACAAAATATGCATCAAAGCGTTTCAATGTATGGACACCATTTTACACATATACTGCATGCATTTAAATCGGATTGTTTATTAAGCATGTGTAGCTGTCGGACGAGTAAAACGTTTCGCTGAAATTTTGATTTAAAAATAATTAAGTTAATATGCAAAATATCAGTTAGAAATATATTTTACAATTACTCTGCTTCTCTGAATTTACACCTTATAATATATTGTCGTGAACTAATTTCTCTATTTTTTTATTAAGCATATTCTCAGTTCTCTTGATTAGTTTATTTAATATTCTGTAGTTTAAAAATAGAATATATATTACTCTGCTTGTTTGAATTAATGTACAGTATTTAAGGCAAGTATATTATAAATAATTGTAATTAAGTTACCTATAAATTAAAAGTAATCTCTCACTGCTTTTTTATTTAAATATAAATAAAGTTACTAGTTACGGTAATTAAATTACCGTTCCATTAAAATAGTAAAAGATTACTTTTAATTTTTAGAAAAAAAGAAATAAACACTTGAAATATATCAGTCTGTGTGGATTGACTGTATACATTATACAAGTTTCACTTCTTGAATGGACTTGAAGATATTCTGAATATATGACCAGCACCTGTACACGTAACTACTGATGATGACAGAATTGACCTTTTTGGGTGTACTGTCTCTTTAAATGGAGTTTATTTGTGGAAATATACCAGTATTAAAGACATGAGTGTAAGATTTCAATGCTAAATCCACTAAATGACAGTGTTTAATGATGTGTAGCAGCATATACACATACTGTAGATCCTTCTGTTGAATGTAATCATGTCTTTGGGTCTGTAGGTTTGTTTTCTTTGGCAAATCCAGAGCAGCAGACAGAGTTTTCTCCTGTGTGGAGCTCACAGCACTTCTTCATAGCCCGAATCACATCCTCACAGCGGCTTTCAATGTATCTGTTAGCTGATAAACACAAAAGTCACACAACAGCCTGTAGTTTTCCTGTATACGACGAGGTGAACACAGTAATGACAGCGTATAAAGCTACCTTGTAAACATTTCTGTATGGCGCAGGCCTGTTTTTGACATGGATCTTTCTGTGACATCTTATTCTATGAAATGAACTCCGACTTCGAGCTTTGTTTTCAGTCAATGCTGTTCAGCGCTGTTTGTAAACACAAGGACGTGACCAAGGACATTGCGCATGCGCATGTCAATATAGTGTTTTTATTAGTGTTTTTATACCCTGTATAACAATAATTGCTATTTTTAACATCACTGTGAGGGGTATGTTTAAGGTTGGGGTGGGTGTTGGTGCTAATAAAAGACAATTTAATTGGCAATTTAATAAATAAACGAAAACATTCTCGCAGCTGTGTGTCCTGCTCTAAATGTCCTCCGGTGAGAAAACATGTTCCTGCGGTAAATACATTTGATGCTAGTGTCAATAAAATAGTTTGTATTATCTTCATATATTCTTTTGAGCTATATTGTTAATAAAAGCTGTCAGTTTTGTCATGTGCTTATGTTTTATTATCAACAAATGATTTAGTCACAAACACGTTTAATCCAGTTCTGTGTCGCCCTCTGCTGCAAAAAGCACATTATTGAACATAACCTGCATAAAAGTCACTCAATGTAGTAAAGAAAAGGAATTTACAAAGAAACACAAAGGAACTTAATAAAATTAGGGTTTCTAAATAGTAATTATTAGTGTTTAAACGTCTTGTTTCAAAATAAAGCGTATTATGAATTATTTTACTTGCGTTTATGTCAGTTGTAGCATTTAAAAAACATAGCTGTTTTCCTTTTTTTATATAATAATGTCCATTTATATTACATAAATAATAACTGATTATAAGTGTAGTTCTCCCCGATCATCACACACACACACCGTCATCTCTGTTGCCATCCGCCTGTTTGTTTCCTGTCGGAAGGAATAGAATGTAGCGCACTTTTCGCGGATGTGGAAGTGTAGTACAGTAATAAACAAAAACAAACTAATCAAAGCAGAATATCATACATTTTATACTTTACTGTTCGCGATGGCTGTCAACGCGGTGCATTTAGAGTCGGACGCGTTTCTGGTGTGTATGAACCACGCGCTGAGCACCGAGAAAGAGGAGGTGATGGGGCTCTGCATCGGAGAGGTTTGTTTATAAGGGTGTTTTTCAACATATGCTGTGCTCTATGTGTGTTTATGAAGCGTTATAACGCCTGTATGTCTCTGTCAGGTGGACACGAACCGTATAGTGCACATTCATTCAGTGATCATCCTGCGGCGCTCAGACAAGAGGAAAGACCGAGTGGAGATTTCACCAGAACAGCTGTCAGCAGCGTCCACCGAGGCCGAGATATCCTTACACACACACACACACACACACACACACACACACACACACACATACACACACATAAACTACACAAAGAGGCACTCTACACACACACACACACACACATAAACTACACAAACAGGCACTCTACACACAAACTAACAGACACTACACATACACACACACACACACACACACACACACACATAAACTACACAAACAGGCACTCTACACAAAAACTAACAGACACTACACACACACACACACACACACACACACACACACACATAAACTACACAAACTGGCACTCAACACACAAACTAACAGACACTACACACACGCACACACACACATAAACTACACAAACTGGCACTCTACACGCAAACTAACAGACACTACACACACACAAACTACACAAACAGGCACTCTACACACACACACACACACACACACACACACACACACACACACACACACACACACACACATAAACTACACAAACTGGCACTCTACACACAAACTAACAGACACTACACACACACACACACACACACACACACACACACACATAAACTACACAAACTGGCACTCTACACACAAACTAACAGACAACACACACACATACACACACACACACACACACACACACATAAACTACACAAACAAGCACTCTACACACACACGCACACACATAAACTACACAAACAAGCACTCTACACACAAACTAACAGACACTACACACACACACACACACACATACACATAAACTACACAAACTGGCACTCTACACACAAACTAACAGACAACACACACACACACACATAAACTACACAAACAAGCACTCTACACACACACGCACACACATAAACTACACAAACAAGCACTCTACACACAAACTAACAGACACTACACACACACACACACACACACACACACACACACACACATAAACTAAACAAACAGGCACTCTAAACACAAACTAATAGACACTACACACACACACAGTACATACATGCATACACACAAACTAACACACACACACACACACACACACACACACACACACACACAAACTAAACAAACAGGCACTCTAAACACAAACTAATAGACACTACACACACACACAGTACATACATGCATACACACAAACTAACACACACACACACACACACACACACACACACACACACACACACATAAACTAAACAAACAGGCACTCTAAACACAAACTAATAGACACTACACACACACACACTAAATACATACACACAAACTAACACACACACATGAACTTCACAAACAGACACACACACACTGCATACATACATACATACATACATACATACATACACAAAAACAAACACAGACTGTACACACATACATACACACAAACTAACACACACACTACACAAGCAAACACTCTACACACACAGACACTCTATACACACACACTACACACAAACAGATGCTGTATATGTACAAAGACACACAATACACAAAGCAAGACCCCAAGATATCCTTACACAAACACACACACACACAAAATCACTCACTCTACACAACCTGACACTGTACTAACTAACACTTTACACACACTCACTCCCTCAACAGTCACTGCAAACGAAAAACACAGTTTACTAACACACATATACACACACACAAACACATTACACACAAACACACACACATGCACTCACTCTACACTAACAGACAATCTTCACACATACAAACACACACACTATACACAAACTAACTCACTCTCACTCTACACACACACTACACACACACACTCTTTGAATGTGCTTTTCCTGAACACGAGGCACAGGTTGGCAGAGATGACGGGACGTCCCATGAGGGTTGTGGGCTGGTACCACTCTCACCCGCACATCACAGTGTGGCCTTCGCATGTGGGTCAGTAGCAGCGTCCACACGTCAGATGTTAGTAGAGTTGGTTTGGCATTACGTGCGTTGTTAATTTGAATGTGCTTTATTCCTGCATCACACGCAGATGTTCGCACTCAAGCCATGTATCAGATGATGGACCAGGGCTTTGTCGGACTCATCTTCTCCTGCTTTATAGAGGATAAAAACACAAAGGTGTGTTTGAATTGGACTTCATTTATTAGGAGAAACCTCTAGGGATGTACCATCTCATTTAAAAGGGGGTGTCACAATGCGTCTCAATCACATAATGATAACTAGGGTTGTTCCAATACAGATACTAGTATTGGACATACTCGCAAAAACTCTTTATCGGCAAGTATTTGAAAGCATTTAATGATCTGGCACCATATATTGTTTTGAAATAATTTGTTTGCCAGTAGTCCCCATCTGTATTTTCATCATTAACTTCTGTGTTTCGTTTGGATTGATGATATTCTCACATTCTTACTGTTTTGTAAGATAATCTCGTATTTGTAAATATCTGTAGAAATCTGTTCTTGGTAATTGAAATTAGGGATGCTCAAAATAATCGATTAACCGTTAACCGAAAGGATGCGTTTGTAACCGATTAATGCCATCAGTTAAACGATTAAAAATATTATTTTATATATTTTTAGTTTGGCTGCATAAGGGGCTGATTGAATGCGCCTTTGCGTTAAGAGGGGGATCTTTTGCACGCGGCTCATCCCAGAGCAGCAGTTTGTGTTGTCAAGACATCTACAGAGAACTTTAAAAGAGCTTGGTTTCCGCTACATTCATTCTTCCAAGGCGGGAACCAAAATGCATCCATCCACGGCTACATTACCCGTTCAAAACATTCAGTCATTGTTGTTGTTTTTAATAGCGGATTATAATCACACCGAAACGTATTAAAAGGTAAGTGAATCATAACAGCGCAAATTTTCTGTAACCATATATAGTGCTGTGCGCTATCTGTTGGCGTTACGTGCTGACTGACTGACAGGTGCGCGATGCGTGAGGCCAGCAAACTCGACAAAGCTTTCAGTTTAGATCAGGGGTCTCAAACTCGCGGCCCGCGGGCCATTTGCAGCCCTCAGTGCAATATTTTGTGGCCCGCGCCGACCGCTGTACACTGACAGAATCAGCGGAGCGGGAAGAGAGAGCGCTCCCCGCTCCGCTGATTCTATCTGTACACAGCGCGCTTGTCACTCAATGCGCGTTGTCGCGCGTGTTCTGATCAGCTGTGTTGTCGCGTGTACTCAAGAGCGGTGTTGTCGCGCGCCTACTGAAGGGCGGGACCGAGGGTGTGTCGCGTCGCGGGGGCACTTTTGATCATTTTGGAAGCGCACTTTCTATGCAAGACTAGAAAGGGCATGTGCTCTGCACAGGTTGAGCCCTATGTGTGCACGTGCCTGCCCTGCATCTTATATATATTGATATTATAGGTAGATACAGACTGGTACAGACTGATGTGACTGGAGTGGGGTGGGGGTGTTTTATTTATACATATATACGCCTTTTTTTTAGGTGAGGGAATGAAAGTTTTGAGTGAGTTCCCCCACTTTTTTCCCTAGGACTTTAATAAGTCAAAGTACAGGTCTAGACTTAATGATGATCATCTTCAAGCCATACTGAGGGTCTCAACTGCTTCCGCTCTAAAGCCAAATGTGGTTCAGATTTGTGAGAAGAAGCGCTGTCAAGTCAAGTCAAAAGATGCCATGTTCAGAAGAACTGTTCATAATCTTCACTCAATGTTCTATTAATGTTCAGGACACTTCATGTTCAGAAGAAATAATTAAAACTGTTAATAATGACATTTGAGGACTTTTTTTTTTTTTGTGAAATCCCTTATGCGGCCCAGCCTCACCCAGACTTTGCCTCCTGCGGCCCCCAGGTAAATTGAGTTAGAGACCCCTGGTTTAGATGAACATAGTTTCTATAGTTATACTTTATTTAGAGATAAAGGTATATGGCTCTGCATATAATCACTCTATCTTGCTGGAGTTTATAGCCGTTTCGCTTTACTTCAGGACGCATTAACGCCGCTCTGAAGGTCTAATCGCTGTTTTAAGTTATCCAGAGCTGTATGAATGTACAAATCTTGAATATCACAATATTATTAGTTAAATATTACAATTGTAACAACACAGACAGCAACACTTTTGCACAATCGATACCCGGCTGATTCAGTCGTTTCAAAAGACTACCGGCCGCGCTTCTTCTCTTCTGTTTTCCTTGTCAACATAAAGGCAGTGAGGTGCGCCTTTTCGGCCCTGATGCCATTTCGGCTGATGTTGACCTGGATCTGCGTCATAAACGCAACAAATAGGCTTTACCTTTTATTTTACACCTTATAAAGCATGTATGCACATTAATGCAATATCATATTTAAACAACAAAACTGTTTACAAAAAGTCTACATATGCGCGCGTTGTTGTTGTCTTTTCATCACGCAGCGTGCGCACTTAACCGCGAGAGAGAGAGAGGAAAGTAAACCATATAGCAAGACATAATCTTTAAAATAATGATTTCTATTACAAATGTAAAAGGTTGTGTGATTTATAATAATAACAGCGGGGCATTAAATAAAGGCATATTTTCCGTGGAGCGGGCAATTTGAGGAAGTCTGCGATTTTTATTTGACGGAAGAAAAAACATAGGCTATGATTGGAAAAAACAGCCTATGCCGGTTATTAAAAAGAATCAGTCAGTATTTTCGTTTGGTAATATAAATTAATTATTTAAATGAATATAATTTAGGGCAGTCCTATTTATTTTATTCATTTTATTTAGTTTATTCTGCTCTTCTGTGCTAAACACTGCAGGTGCGTGAAAATGCTGTTATGTTCTATTATTAATATGCTATCATGTTAAAATAAATCAGTATTTTCAAATGCAATATTTAATGTGTCAGACACAAAATAGACACGTCAATTTGTTTAATATAAAATTAATAGTAATCTGACCAGTTAACCGCTAATAACCGATTAATGAGCGGCGGTTGTCGGTTAGCAAAATTAACCGAAATGAGCATCCCTAATTGAAATTCTTCTTCTAATTGTTCGATTGATTTTTAATTGTTTTTGTTGATAAGCTGATATACAGAACTTAATTTTTTAAAATCCAGTATCTAATACTGATGGGATGAATGCATTTAGTGTACTTGTACTAGATAATGGAGAAATTAAATGATTTATTTTTTAAATGAAATTTGCATATTTTTAAAGTTGCTCTTGTCCATTTTCCCGTTACTACATTACCCCTGCTGGAGTCTACCCTGCTAAAAAATCCAGCTTAAACCAGCCTAGGCTGATTAGCTGGTCAACCAGCCTGGTTTTAGAGGGGTTTTGGCCACTTCCAGGCTGGTTTCCAGCCATTTCCAGCATGGTCTTAGCTGGTCAGGCTGGAAAGTGACCAGCTAAAACCATCTAAAACCAGCTTGACCATCCTGGTTTAAGCTGGACATAGCCGGTTTTGGCTGGGCTCCCAGCCTGGCTAGGCTGGTCAAGCTGGTGTTAGCTGGTCATCTCCCAGCTTGTCCAGGCTGGAAATAGCCAAAACCCCTCTAAAACCAGGCTGGTTGACCAGCTAAAACCAGTCAACCATCCTAGGCTGGTTTAAGCTGGATTTTTCAGCAGGGTATAAAAAAGGGTGAAGACAGTGGATACTGACAAAAACTTTTCTTTATGTTTAACCAACGTGTATCCATATTGTTCTTCAACGATTTCTGAAGTGTTATGCTGTGAGTTGTTTACCCTGACGTTTGTTTGTGTTCCTCCTGCAGACTGGTAGAGTGCTGTACACCTGCTTCCAGTCTGTACAGGCCCAGAAAGGCTCAGAGTAAATACACTACCTTCCTTATTGTGCATCTCTTCAAATTAATATATTTAATTTGTTTCCCGTACAGAAAAAAACATAATGAGCTTCACATGTCTCGTATGCAACTGATGCTACTTTTTATGACAAGGTATGAGCGGATCGAGATCCCAATCCATGTCGTTCCACATGAAGCCATTGGGAAAGTGTGTCTGGAGTCGGCAGTGGAGTTACCCAGAATCCTCTGTCAGGAAGAGCAGGACACGTACAGGAGGATTCACAGGTGTGCTGTCAGAGCTGTTCATTTCACCTTCAGATCATTGGAACTTAGCATATTCAGGAGTTTATTTTAGCTATAATACAGGTTATTCTATGCAGTTTCTCAGGACGTTATGCATATATATATATATATATATATATATATATATATATATATATATATATATATATATATATATATATATATATATATATATACACACACACACACACACACACAAGGGTTGAAGAATGAAACTGAAACGGCTGGTTTTCAAACAAAATAATTCATTAGTATTGTTTTAGAACCTCCATTTGTGGCCAATATAGCATCAATTCGTCTTGAGAATGACAAATGCAGGTCCTGCACAGCGGCCAGAGGGATTTTCAGCTGCTCTTTTTCAGAATAGTGTACAGGTCAATATGTGATGCTGGTGGAGGAAAACATTCCTGACTCGCTCCTTCCAAAACACCTCTTAGTGCTCAATAACATTTAGATCTGGGTACTGTGCAGGTCATGGGAGATGTTAAACTTCACTTTTATATTGAGCAAACCACTCTGCCACACGTCTTGCTGTCTATATTGGTGCATTATTATCCTGATACACACCACCGCCTTCAGTGTTTTGGTCTTCCAGAATGGTTAGGCAGTCCTTGGCTACCCAGTGCCCATCTAGCACAAGTATTGAGCCTAGGGAATGACTTGATATTGAACCCAAACCAGCACTAATCTGCCCCCATGCTTCACTCTAAGCATGAGCAGTCTGGGTGGGATGCTTTTTTGGGGCTTCTCCACACTGTAACTCTCCCGGATGTGGGAAAGACAGTGAAGATGCACTCATCAAGACTACTCAAATTTAGCCATGAATCCTCCAACACTAAATTTTGGCCAGTGTTTCAGTTTCATTGTCCCACACTCTTGTAAAGTGCTTGGAAATTTGGAAAATGCAGATGGAAAGTGATTGAAAAATGCTTAAATTTGACTCTGGAAAATGTGTAAACAGCCTGAGTTTTAGTAATTTTCTTATTGCACTCTTCAGTGCACAATATAAAAACATTATATCTGAAAAACGACAGAAAATGGAGTTATCTGTCTTTGCAATTAATCTCCTGATATATTTTCATACAGTGTAATTCTGTGTTTTCCCCCCTTCAGTTTAACTCACCTGGATCCGATCACAAAGATACATAATGGATCAGGTAATATCTCATTTTTAAGATATTAGCTGTGTCCCAAATCGCATACTTATGCACTATTCTACGCCATTTTGTAGTATGAATAGTGTAAGTAGTGTGTTGAACGACCTCAGATTTGCTAACGTAGCAGTAGAAGCGGAGCTATCATGCGCACATGTTGGATAACTTTATTTATTTTGGATGGTGAAAGCAAAATTCTCCTACGAGAGTGATTATAGCGCCTCCCGATGGTGAATGCGGTTATACTCACGGCAGGTATTATTTGATCATTCGGTCGTTTATTTCACTGATTTGGCGACCGGCAAACGTCATCAGGGAAACGGTTTAAATTTCCAATTAGTGAAAAAACATTAGTGCTCCATTTGGGACGACGCTACATACATATAATATCCTGTTGAGTGTGTAAGTGCATAAGTACATAGTGTGCCATTTGGGACGCAGCTACTGTTTTTGCTTGCTTGTTGTCATGAATCATGTTTTCTTTTTTCTTGTTTGGTACACAATGCGTGTAAAATCATTTCACTTAGCATATAAAAATGATCCTCCAATTAATGTATTACTTATTAAATATGCATATTATCATGATATTGACCTAAGCTGTAAAAAATGACTTTTACAGGTAAAATAAACAAAAATTCATGCAGGCCAGATTGATCGTCAGGCCACCGGAAAATGTCCCGGTGTTCCCTATGGCCAGTCCACCCCTGAGTCTAATGTTCTGATGAGTTGATTCAGGTGTGTTTGAACAGTCCAGGGGTGTCCACACTCCGGCCTGGAGGGCCAGTGTCCTGGAGATTTTAGCTCCAACCCTAATGAAACACACCTGAAGCAGCTAATCAAGCTCTTACTAGGTATACTTGAAACACACAGGCAGGTGTGTTGTCGCAAGTGGGAGCTAAACTCAGCAGGACACCGGCCCTCCATGACCAAGTTTGGACACCCGCTTGAAAATGTGTGCTGTTGGTGTGCCTTCAGGAACAAACTTGGGAAATACCGAGTCCATGGTCTGCTAATAGCATGCATTGTACATTAAAATAAAGCGTGACATTTATTTTGTAATGTGTGTGTGTGTGTGTTTGTCAGTGTTCACGAAAAACCTGTGCAGTCAGATGTCGGCCATCAGCGGGCCGCTCTTACAGTGGCTGGAGGACCGACTGGAGCAGAACAAACAGAGCATCATCACACTGCAGAAGGAGAAAGAGCTGCTGACGCAAGAGCTGGCGGCATTGTAAGAACAAATCACTCATTGCACACTCATTTCTCTCCTCGAATGTTGGCTCTGCGGCCACTCTTGGATGGGAGATTAAAGACAGGACGTCTGTTAGTCCACATTTCTGTGACCTCAGCACATTTTGCTGAGCTACACTTGAAAAATGCTGTTCTTACTGCGAGGTTTTGTCTCGTTTCTAGTCTAAATATCTCTAAATTCTTAAAGTATTTTCTAGACAAGCAAAACATCAGAAATAATGAGTCAAAATGAAGTGAGTTTTTACTTAAAACAAGTTAAATAATCTGATAATGAGGTGAGTTTTGAAATAAAATTATTTTTCTGACTCCATTGTCAGATTATTCGGCTTGTTTTAGGGATAAACTCACTTCATTTTGACTCATTATTTCTAAAAACAAGACGATATTTAATGCTTGTCCAGAAATTTTAGATATATAGACTAAATATTTAGATATCAAGACCAAAAACTCTCAGTAAAAACAGCATTTTTTGCAGTTTAGTCTCAGTTTCTTCCAGCCAGAATTGGAGTTATGAGTTCTCCTAGTGCTGGCTGGGCACAACTCTTTTAATCCTACATACGGTGGCTCAGAGAGTTCAAATGTGTCTCAAGTTAAAGGGTTAGTTCACACATAATTGAAAATATACTCATTATTTACCGTTCCTCATGCTGAGTTTCTTTCTTCTGTTGAATATTTGAAGAATGTTGGAAACCTGTAACCATTGACTTGCATAATATGACAAACAAATACTATTGAAGTCAATGGTTACAGGTTTCCAACATTCTTCACAATATCTTCTTTTGTGTTCAACAAAAAAAGAGAAACTCAATAGTGAGTAAATGTTGACTTAATTAAATTGTTTTAGTTTTCACCCCTGAAAAATGTAGAAAAAATTTTCATCAGATTGTCACCACGCACATATATTAATTGATACAGATATTAAATAAATGTAAATAATAATTAATACAGAAAAACATTGAAGGACACAGTGGAAATGTGTCAGGGAGCCCAAAAAGTGACAGACCAGATGCTTTCTGTTTAGAGTAAGCAGTTCATTTAATATTAATTGTGCAATTGGTCAGAATATTATGGATAGAAAATATACAGAATAATAAACAAAAACTTGCATACTGCTCTCAAAAGACAGATTTTTTGCTTATTATTCTGTTTATTTTGATCGAGCACCTGCTTAAAGTGTCTTTAGGATGTGCGAACTCTGAGCTTTGATCTATTGGCTAAAAATATACAAAGAAGAAACTGTAAGCTGTAGACATTAAAGGGATAGTTCACCCAAAAATGAATGTTCAATCATTATTATTTCCTCTTCCTCATGTGATTTTGAGTTTCTTTCTTTGGTTGAACACTGAAGAAGATATTTTGAAGAATGTTGGAAACCTGTAACCATTAACTTCCATAGTAGGAAAAACAAGTACTATTGAAGTGAACGGTTACAGGTTTCCAACATTCTTCAAAATATCTTCTTTAGTGTTCAACAGAAGAGAGAAACTCATTAAGAGTGAGTAAATGATGACATAACCTAATTGTTTTGTTTTTATCCCCTAAGAAATATAGAAAACATTGGGACATTAAAGGGATAGTTCACTCAAATGTATATTTACTCATTATTTACTCTTCCTGATGTGGTTTAACATTTTTATGAGTTTCTTTCTTCTGTTGAAGACTGAAGAAGATATTTTGAAGAATGTTGGGAACTCTGATTGACTTACACAGTAGGAAAAACAAATACTATGGACATCAACGGTTACAGATTTTCAACATTCTTCAAAATATCTTCTTTAGTGTTCAACAGAAGACAGAAAGCTTATAACTTGCAGCACATCTGAACTCTCTCAGCCGATGTACCTTCCTGTTATTCGTCATGCCATTGCACACACGCACGCTGTTTTCTCTGAAGCTCTAGTGTGTGTATTCGCTCCACACATTATTTACTTGCTCTGTTCCTGCATAAACTGTAAATCTCTGAATGTACAAATGTGTCAGTTTGAAATGACATCGTAAAATAAAAAATTAAATCATTAAAAACATTGTGATCCTTCGACGCACGACATTTTAAACACAGTTCTGTGGAAACAGTGTGTGAATATCTCCAGCCTCTAATGATAAACATGAATTATTTGATGAAGGAAACACTGTGATTGGCATTCTCCCTTTGTACGTGTCATCAGAGGGGGAAAGCTCCGCCCACTAGTGCCCATCTCTCCATCTCATTAGCATAAACAGCAGGCCTGAGTGAGAAGCAGCCGTCTGTCCATTCGCCATTAGAGTGTTTGAGCTGCTGAAGATAATGTCAGCATAGACTAAGAGGATTATAGATGCGGAGTTTTAGATGAACAACGACAGGAGCCACATAGACTGACAGAAGCATGAACACACACACACACTGAAGCACACATGCACACCTGACCAGCACTGAGAGTGGTAATCCTGTTTTTAATCTGACGGTGATCTGATGGTTTCTTAAGGGGGCTAATAATATTGACAATAAGTTTTTAATTTTTTAAAAATGATTTCATCCATCCAAATTAAAAGAAATGAGACTTGTATATAAATATAATAGGAACACTGTGAAAAGTCTTCTTGCTCTGTTAAATATTAATTATTTTACAATTAATGGTTTTGATGTCTACTGTAAAACCTATTTAGAAGAATCTTTATTTTTCAAGCCCTTCTCTCAATGGTGTTTGTGAGCTTCAGAGTGTTAAAATGGTTTCTTGTCACTAGGTGGCGCAGATGTCTTGTTTTTGCTTTATTAGATTTGTCTTTGGTAAGAGAAAATAAGACTAAATACAGTATAAATATTATGGATGCAGATAAACATACACAAGCATCATAAAACTCACGCAATAGTTCAAATCACCAAACAAGAAATCAACAGGAAAACATTATTGTACATTAAATAAGTTAATGAATAATAAGGTTAAATATCACATATGTACATAAAAAATACATAAAATAACAATAGTAATGTTTTTATTATATTTATTATTGTTATATTTGAGTTATTATTACTAAAACAAATAATAGAATAAAAAGAATTTTTTTTTAAAGTCTCCTATTTTATAAGAGGGCTCATTTTTACTAAACTTAAGTTTTTTAGATTATGAAACTGGTTTAAAAGAGATTACTGAACACTTATGTAGCATTATATAAAGTTTGTTTGTCATGTTAGACTTACAAAATGAAAATTTTAATAAAAACGAGACAAACCGATATGCTTGTTATCAGCAGATCATGAAGTCTAATGTTACTTATTTGATCAAAATATGAATATTTCAAGATCTACATGCCGACTGCTGTGTGAAATATTCAGTATGTTTAGTTAATATAACCAGATGTAACAGGTCGGTGTGTATATTTTTCTAATGTTAATATACTTGAAACTACACAGTTGAAGACACAATTATTAGTTATTAATTTGTTTTCAAATGTTTCCCAAGTGATGTTTTACAGCAAGGAACATTTCCACAATATTTCTGTTAGATTTTTCTCCTGTGGAAAGTGTTACTTCCTATAGTATATATCAAACCAACCAACCCTAACCCCAAACCAACCAAATTAACCAAACCAAACTAACTGACCCCAAAACCCCCACCTCGCCCACCCACCCACCCACCAACCAACCAACCACCCCAAACCAGACCAACCAAAACCCATACTCAAACCAAAGCAAACCAACCAACCCTACCCAACCAAACCAACCAAACCTAACCCCAAACTAACCAAATTAACCCCACCTCTAACACTCCACCAACCAACCCCAAACCGGATTAAACCAAAACCCATACTCAAATCAACGTAAACCAACCAACCCGTTTACTTAACCAACCAATCCACTTACTCAACCAACCAACCCAAAACCAAACCAACCAAACCCATTCAAACCAAGACAAACCAATTAACCCCAACCAACCAACCAACCAACCCACCCATCCAAACCAAACCAACCCAACCCACCTAGCCACCAACCAAAAAACCAAACTTAACCCCAAACCAAACCACCCAAACCAACTCACCCAACCACCAACCAAATACCAAACTCAACCCCAACCAACCAACCAACCAATCCTAACCAACCGAACCTAACCCCAAACCAACCAAATTAACCAAACCAAACTAACTGACCCCAAAAACCCCACCTCTCCCACCCACACACCCAACCAATCAACCAACCAACCACCCCAACCCCAAACCAGACCAACCAAAACCCATACTCAAACCAAACCAAAGCAAACCAAACCAACCAACCAACCCTACCCAACCAACCCTAACATCAAACCAACGGAATTAACCAAACCAACCAAACTAACGGACCCCAAAAAAAACCCACCACTAACACCTAACCAACCAACTCCAAACCAGACCAACCAAAACCCATACTCACATCAAAGCAAACCAACCAACCAACAAACCAACCAACCTGTTTACTTAACCAACCACCCAACCAATCCACTTCCTCAACCAACCACCCAACCAACCAACCAACCAACCAACCAACCAACCAACCAACCAACCAGCCAACGAACCAAAAATCAAACCAACCAAACCCATAACCAAACCAACTAACCCCAACCAACCAACCCATCCAAACCAAACCAAACCAAACCAAACCAACCCACTTAGCCACCAATCAGAAACCAAACTCAGCCCCAAACCAAACCAAACCAACCAACCAAAACCCATATCCAAACCAAGACAATCCAGTTTACCCCATCACACCCAACCAAACCAAACCAAACCACCCAAACCCAACCCATGCCAACCAAACCCCCGTAAGCCAACACTTGCTTTTCTGATGTGAACGGTTTGAGCATGTGTTGTGTTTTGAAGGCAGGTTGACTCCAGCTGATTGATTCTCGTTCGCTGATGGCTCTGATTCTGCTCCACTTTTACAGCGTTCCTGTCCTTGACAAATAAAGTCTCGGCCACTGAAGCAGCTCTCCAGACATCGGCCGACATCTGGAGGTGCAAATGCTCATTCAGGACGAATATCCCACATTTATCGCCCCGTTCAGCCGAGCGTAAAATTAGGCCGTTTTGTGTGCAGCCGAGTCCTAACACTCCACTAAAACAGACTAGTGTGTGTGTGTGTGTGAAACTCATGGTGGGACTGAGAGCAGGCAGGAGATATTAAAACAGAGGTGGATGGAGAGAGCAGGAATATCTCTCTCTCTCTCCTCCTCCTTGGCAGAACACACACCTTCATTCAGCCTGAACACCAGACCACTGTAAACCTTTCTCTCTGTGTTTGTCTGTGTAAAAGTGTCTGTGTGAGTCTGTCTGTGTTTGTGTCAAAGTGTGTTTGTGTGTCAGTATCTTTGTGAGTATGTGTGTGTGCGTGTGTGCATGTCTGTATGTCTAAACATGTGCATGCATATCTGTGTGTGTGAGTGTATGAGTTTGTGTGTGTCTGTGCGCTTCAGTCTGTGTGTACATGCGCGAGTATGTTTGTGTGTCAGTGGTTATGTGTGTGTGTGTGTTTGTGTGTGTGCTTATCTGTATGTGTGACTGTATATTTGTGTGTGTGTGTGTTTCCCAGTGTTTGTGTCTGCACATTTGTCTGTGTGTGTTTGACTGTGTATGTGTGTGCATGTTTGTGTGTGTGTGCACGCATACATGTATGCGCATGTCTGTGTGAGTATGTGTATCTGTCTGTGTGTGTGTGCGTGTGTGCATGTGTATGTATGTGCGTGAGCATCATGCATGTTAGGATGTGCATGAGTGTGTGTCTGTGTATTTGTTTGTATGTATGTGTGTGTCTGAGTATGTGTATGTATGTATGTGTGTGTGTGTGTCTGAGTATGTGTATGTATGTATGTGTGTGTGTGTCTGAGTATGTGTTTGTATGTCTGTATGTGTGTGTTTTTTTCGGTGTATGCGCATATGTCTATATGTCTAAGTGTGTGTGTGCATCTGTGTGCGTGAGTATGTGTGTGCTTGTGTATATGTTTTTTTGTGAATGTGCTTGATGACGAATTAGTTTAAGTGTGTGTGTGTGTGTGTGTTGGCAGCAGGGCAGTGTGTTTGATGATCTGCCTGTGGGCCCGTGGGCCCCAGTGTATATTTCTGGCAGAGGGGCCACTGAGGTGTAGTGGACAGTGACGTCCCAGAGGCAGACGGTGTTTAATTAACACCTCTAAAACAGACAGGACTGAACACACACACACACACACACACACACACACACACCCTTGCGTCCTGTCCACCATTATGAAACGCTCTCAAAGTCCTTTTTCATGGACATTTAAACACACAAAATACCGCAAAAGTTCAGTCTGATCTCACGAGAAAACGTAAGTATTTTACGTTTTGTCAGTTTAGTGGCTAATTTGTATGAATTCGTACGAGTTCAGTTGTACGAAAATGCACAATTTTTAAAAAGGAGGCGTGGCACCTAACCCCACCCCTAACCCCAACCGTCATTGGGTGATCAGCAAATCGTACTAAATTGTACGAATTAGATCGTACAAATTCATACGAATTAGCCACTAAATCAAAAGGTTACGAATTGCTGTGAGATTGCATTGGATAGTTGCGTATCGATACCTCTGCTGTAAGGCAATCAGACGCAGTGTTGGGTAACGCATTAAAAGTAACGTAAATTGCGTAATAATATGACTAGTAATGAGTAAAGCCATTACTGTTTAAAATTAAGTTAAAATGTTTGAGTTACTGGCGTTACGGTGGCACAGTGGGTAGCACAGTCGCTTCACAGCAAGAAGGTCGCTGGTTTGAGCCTCGGCTGTGTTAGTTGGCATTTCTGTGTGGAGTTTGCATGTTCTCCCCGTGTTGGCGTAGGTTTCCTCCGGGTGCTCCGGTTTCCCCCACAGTACAAAGACATGTGGTAGGTGAATTGGGTAAGCTAAATTGACCAAAGTGTATGAGTGTGTGAATGAGTTTCTATGAATGTTTCCCTGGGATGGGCATCAGCTGCATAAAACATATGCTGGATAAGTTGGCGGTTCATTCTGCTGTGGCGACCCCAGATTAATAAAAGGACTAAGCCGAAAAGAAAATAAATAAAT